CTCTCTCTCTCTCTCTCTCTCTCTCTCTCTCTCTCTCTCTCTCTCTCAGAATAGGATATTCTGACATGGGGGTGTTGCCCTGACTGTGAATTTTTGAATCTCTGTGATTCACAACAGCAGAAGGTGCCCTCTTGGGTAAATAAGACTTCTTCCTTCAATCTAACCATTCCTTCAGTTTTACTGATAAGAATGTAGACTAAGCTACTACAAGTGCAGCATGTCCTGTACTGTGTTCTTACAGAACTAATAGTTCCTGAGCTGAGTCTCTTCCCTGTCTCTAAGTATTTTAAAACCACTTGCTTGTATAAAACAGTGGAATGAATTGTACTTTAAATGTTAAAGCTTTTTGTCTCAAAATAGTTATTTATACATAAATTTCTGATGTAGATTTACTTGAAGTTTGTCCTTATTTTCAGGAGGGCTGAGAAAGGTGGTGTTCTAGTTTCATTCTGTTATTGTGAAAAATGCCATGATCAAAGCAACTTAGGGGTGAGAAGGATGCGTTTTGCTTATTTCAGGTCTTAGCCCACCATTGAGGGAAATCTTGATAGTAACTCAAGTAGAAGTTGGAATAGAAATTGTGGAAGAAGGCTTCTTGCTAGCACCCTTATAGGCTCACAATTAACCATCTTTCTTATACAGCTAAGGACTAGTGCCCAGGGATTGGTATTGCCCACAGTGGGGTAAGGATTTCTATATCAATTAAAAATCAAGACTGTCCCCCACACACATATCCCACAAACCAAACTGTTTGGAAGGTACTTCAATTGAGATTTAACTAGTCATTAAAAATAATTTGTTAATACCTAATAATTTCTTAAGATGAGATAAATAAACTGCAAAAAGCTACAGAACTAAGTGATTTATGAAATATAGTAATTATAAGTAAAATTTCTCTATTGGAAGTTCTAAAAGACAATACCTACATATGTATTTATCAATAGTACATCTTCTTCCACTATAGAGAATTAGTGGTGACAGCACATTGTAGAATAGAATATCATGTAACAGGGACTCAAGAAATGCTTGTTGAATTTAATTCATTACTTAAAATACTTATAGTTAATTATCACTATTATTTCATTTAACTCTGACTTGTAATATTATTATTGTAAAGAATCAGGTCAGTAGATTATAAAAACAAAACAAAAAATCAAAATAGAACAAAAACTCATTTGCAATGTGAATTTTATAGTTTCTAATGAAAGAAGATGTCAGAAATTTTAAGAAGAATAGAGGCAGGTATATTATTTGAAGGTTTTGGAGAAAGGGAAGGGAGAAATTTCTGGGTACATTTCTAAAGGAAATACAATCATTATCTTAAAGTTTTATCTTCATTACCTGCTTTTGTGCTGCTTTTTGTAAGAGTCAAGGTTTATAAAATAGTGGCTACGGCTTGATGAGTATATGAATATTATATGTATATATGGATATAGATGTATATAATTGAATAGAATTCTCCATGAAAGAAGTGTGGCAATTGCAATAACATGGCAGAACCATAAGGACATTATAATATCAGGAAAAGAGCAGCCATATATCATAATTATATGGAATATAAAAATGTTAGATTATTTCTAAGCTGTTCATTAGCTTATTCAAATTTTATTTTATGTATGAGAGTTTTTCCTCATGTACATATGTACATTATTTACATTTCTGGTACCCACAGAAGTCCAAAGAGTGCACAGAATCCCCTGGGAATAGAATTACAGAGAATTATAAACTACTGTGTGCTTGCTGAAACTCTAATCCAGGTCTTCTGGAAGAGTAGAATGTGCTCTTAACTGCTGAGACATTTTTACAGCCCTAAAAGGTTCTTAAAATTAGAGTAGGAGGGTGGATCCCGAGCACTGAGGGTGGGAGTTGATGATCAAAGCAAGCAAACTTTCAAAGTTACAGATGAGTAAGTCCAGAAGCCATAACATTCAGAATGGTGAATATAATTACTGGACTCTGTATACTTTAGATTTGTGAGAAAGGTGTTTCAAGTTGTGTGCTAAGTGTTGGTCACCCACAGAGGCACCTGTGTGGGGTGAGAGATCTGCTCATTAGCTTGATTGTGACAGTCATTTCACCATGTGTATGTGCATAGCAGCCTCACTACTGTATACTTTCAATTTATATATTTTCATAAATTAAAAAATTAAGTTGTAAGATAAATATATCATTTAGTTCCTTCCCTTTGATGCTTTCAATCACTCCCTCTTTATGTGTACATTATAGTTTAATAAAGCTTGAGGGTGGGGAGAATTCTCCCTAATTTTATTGCTTCGTTCTCAGTTTGTGGCTCCTTTTTTCTTTTAACTAGATATAAATCAGTTGAGTGATTCATTAGAAAGAAAAACCTCCTTCAAAAATATGATTGTTTTCTATTTCCTATAGTTCTCTTTCACATGAAGTAATCGCCAAATCCATCAAATACTCCACTTACTTCCCAGCAGACCAATACAATCACATTTATTTAGAATTACATAAGTTCAAATAAAAACCTTACTAAACCATATTTATTGCTTTTATTTGTCCTTTTTGATCCATTAATGTACATTGGTTTAAACTTTTGTGGAAAAGGGGTGTTTCTCTGCCTTAACTGTTAATTCTGTAGAAATTAAGATCCTGACTTCTGACAGTCACTTTTAGAATAAAAGCTATAAATTATTGTTATATAATGTTCACATAATCTCCCCCTCCTCCTTACTGTGTAGGTCACGGGCAGTGTAACTGTGGAAGATGTGACTGCAGAGCAGGCTGGTACGGGAAGAAATGTGAGCATCCAAGGAACTGTCCATTGTCAGCTGAGGAGAGCGCCAAGAAGTGCCAGGGTAGCTCCGATCTTCCTTGCTCTGGAAGGGGTGAGTGAAGCCACTTGTTTTATCATGGCTTTCTACTAGTATGAGACAAATGAATCCCCCTGCCCCACACACATGCATGCACCTTATGTAGATGGTGTCTGAGATCTCCGAAAGAAGAAAAATTGTTGCTTTTTCAGAATTAGTAAACTACAGTCTGATCAGGGAAAGTATCTCGACAAAGAAAATATGTCTCTGTCTCTTTTTTTTTCTCTCTTCATGTGGATGCACACACACACACGCACATGCTCACACACACATGCACACACCATTTTCTCTACTTCGACTTGTTCAATTTCATCCAGTTCAATACTTTAAAAACAACAAAAGCACAGTTAAGATGTTTGCTTAAAGCTTTCTGAACTTGAGCACCTAATTACCCACTGACATTTATGGAATTCAATAACATTGTTTATTGGGTATTGTTCACTTGGAAAAGCATTGTGTAAACACACATGAATAAGCTGCTTCTATGCAAGAAGTTTAGCCTCAGGTGTGTTTTGCCTCTCTCAGATCAAGAAAAAAATTCAGGATAAGGAAAAACTCATCTGGAAGAACATTCTTTTTGATCCATCAAAGTAAGAATATGAATTCATACCTCACTTGACAATAGCAACGTCAATCTGACATGTGTTTTTAGAAGAACTGTTTGTAGAATCTACTAGAAATGTTGTGTAGAACAGAACAAGGAAAGAGCCTTGAATTTTAGATGGAAAATGTGATTTTCTGTTATGTTGCTTCTTTAATGTGATTTATTTATTAAGATATAATTCATATAGCACAAAGTTTAACCTTTTAGTGTTCAAACCCTGGTGTTTTAGATAAAAATCACAGAATGATGCAGTTGTGAATACTAATTTTTACACATGTTGTCAGTTGGCTAGTGGAGTATGGGTCAGAGAATTTTAATGTCAGAGATACTTCTGAATATTGTTCCTTCTATCAATAACTCAGAAAGGAAACTCTGCTCCATCCAATATAAAATATTCTGAAGTGGTCTAAATAGTCCTGTAAGGCTTCTGACTTTCAAGGGTTGAAATTTTCCTATCCCTCAGACAACTGTTATCCAGTTTTACAGTCTTTAGTCAGGAACTGACATGACTTCACTATCTTCTTTTGTGAAAGTTTCAACATTGTGCTCTGTGATAGAAATGAATGTCAGAGGCTACCCCATGTGGTATTTCTGTTATTTATTCTACAGTTATTCTACAGTGTTTATATATATATATATATATATATATATATATATATATATATATATATTAAATATAATGGAGATAATTCCAAAGCAAAAGACCTCAAGAGAAATAAAAAGTAACTTCATATCAAAATAGACTTTATTTCTTAAAACCCTTTTCCAGGTGCTTCCACTTTAGTAACTTAAGATTTTGCTATTGTTATTAAGTCCCAAAAAAGAGACAGGGTTGTGTATGTGTTTTGAGAACTTAAAGAACTGTTTAAATCTAAGAGATGCACATTATGTATGGTCATAAAAAAATATAAAATTTTATTGCTAGTAGAAATAAATAGACTGTGAATAAACAAATGAAATTATATGATACAATAAGAAAACTTTCTAAATTATTTTTCACATTTACAGATTAACTTTAAATGTATGCATGTGCAGTGGCTTTTTGTTTGTCTAGACTCTAATACACAAGACAATTACAAGAGAATTATTGTGGAATTATACGTTAATTTTTAATAAACTATGAGTAAGTTTGGTGTATAATACCTATTGTTTTCTCATCTTTCCCAAGAATCAACTCTTAGCTACCTTTTTAGAGGAATAGAATATAGTTAAAATATATTGCATGAACAGGATGTTGAATATGTATGAATAATTTGACTAAATCATGAATTTGCATAAGCTTCTACAAGCACTGTATAAATGTACAATCACCAGTTTCTTTAAGAGAGATGGAGGTATTGGTGGGTAAATTTTCTCCCATGGGAGTTTGAGAATAAAAAACAAGATGCTATAGTCCTTTTGCATTTGGTCAACTCACTCTACTTTTTGGGGGGCTATATCTATAACTGCAACTGGGATCTCTGAAGCAAACATTTCATAGGAAAGCTTTGAAAGGGTTAGTTTTGCAGTTTTGAATGAATACCTGCAACGGCTGTGATTACAAGAGTTAAGAAAACAATTACAAGCACCATCAGTTCTCAAGCTTGAGAGCCGCATCAGCCCACAAACTTGGATAGAATCCCCAAGTAGAATATGCTATTGGGCAGGTATGTCCTAGGAAAATTAAATAATTTTACTTGCTTTTGATAGTGATGAGTACATAGAGTCCTTCTGTCTCCAGGATTGAGATCCTTGAATTCATGAAAGGATTGAGGATCTTTAAATACTCTTGATTTCTAGTCTCTATTGTCTCTAGATATGACTTCATTAAACTAGATGTTTTCTCTAAGGTTGATGTGTTTATAAGCTTATTCATCTGGGTTTTGCTTCTCAGTAGCATTGGGGAGTCATCTTTTCATTTCTTACATTTGTGTTTTTTATTTAAAAAGTAAAAGGAGCTTAAGATAGTCTACACATTAGTTTTTAACTCTAGTTAAAAACTGCAGTTTTATCATTATTGATAATGCTTATTCTAAATGCCTATCTAAATCTTCTTGTATATTCAACACATTAATAACATTTTTTGCTAAATGATTAACAAAAATAACTGTCTTAACTTCTTGTGTCAAAGCTACTGCAGAAGCAGTGGTGCTAACAATATAATTAAAGTTGCTATACCAGCAATAATCAAGCCCACTACCCTCTTGCTTCTGCTTAAGGCCTGACTCACTTCTTCTAGTACTTGCAAGGTTTTTTCAGAAGATCAAGGTTCTGTGATACTCAGGGTAACAAAACAAAAGCTGGTTGACAGACATGGTAACTGACATGATGGATTTCAACACACCAACACAATTAGAAAGTGTACAATCAAGGCAACTTACATTAAATACTGTAGAAGAAACAAAAGTACTTTTAACTTGACAATTAAAAGAGCTTTAACACATGCACTTGTTTGAAGTCCAGATCCTGTCCCAACTTTATCTCTTGCTAACATAACATCATAGAGAACTGCAGCTAACTTCCAAATACATCTCTGTAAACATCCAAAACCAGACTTCCAAATGCAGGCTGTTATTTCCAATATTGGAATGATTTCGAGACCAGTTCATAATTAAATCCAAATAACTGGTCACATTTAAGAAAAGTACAAGAATCATTGTAACTTCTCTTTTTGATTCTCTGTTCCATGAGGTCTAAGATCTTGAGGCAAGACAGCTTGTCCCATCAGGAGTATAGGTAAGCAAAGGTGGATCAGGAACATATGTCCAATACAGCTTCCCAGTCACCATTGTCAGGGCACTCAGCAAGCTCACAGGTCAGCATCAGTCTTTGTCCCAGCATCAGCATGTCTCAGCTCTGGCAGGCACCATGCTCCTTCAGCATCCTGACATAAAAATCACAAACATGTCCTCTTCCCTATATTAAATACCAGATCAGGATCATGCCATATGCCAGTAAGTGGATCCTTCCCTTTCACCTATGCGTACGTATGCCTAGTTGTAGAGTGCCATAGACACTCAGCAGAAAGTTCCTTGGCATACAAATTTTTAATAAAAATTTAAAATAAAAAGAACATGATTTAAATAAATTTGTGGTGTATGGGAATATATCTCCCCCTTTTTTATTTTATGAAGATATTGTTTTAAAGTTCCATGGGCCCCTTCCACAGCCCCTTGTCCTTGACAATTATCAGGAATCCCAGTAATATGGGTAATATTAAATTGCTGCCAAAAAGACTCAAATGCTCAACTGAGATAAGTCAGTTCCATTATCTGTTTTTTGTTTGTTTTTGTTTTTTATTATTATTGGATACTTTATCTACATTTCAGATGTTATCCCCTTTCCCAATTTCCCCTTCACTCCCAAATACCCCTTATCTCACTCTCCCTCCTCCTATTTCTATGATTGTGTTCCCCCTCTCATCCACCTCCCCACCCTTGAATTCCCCCTCTCTGGGGCATCCAGCCTTCAGGGACAAAGGATCTCCTATCCAACTGATGCCCAACAAAGCCATCCTCTACTACATATACAGCTGGAGCCATGGGTCCGTTCATTTGTGTTTCTAGGCTAGCTGTTTAGACCCTGGGAGTTCTGTTTGGTTGGTATTGTTGCTCTCCCCATGTAGCTGCAAGCCCCTTCAACTCCTTCAGTCTTCTCTCTAACTCCTCTATTGGTGACCCCGTAATCAGTTCAATGGTTAACTGCTAGCATCTGTCTTTGTATATGTCAGGCTCTGGCAGAGCCTCTCAGGAGACATGTTTATCAGGCTCCTGTCAGCATGCACTTCCTGACATCCACAACTCCTTCCAAGCAGAAGCTTAGAGAGGCATTGAAATATTTGTCATTTCCTCCTTCCCTGTTGATGTGCTAGAGACAGATTCTGGTCTCTTGGCTTGGGTTTCAGAGAGACAGTATTTAGCAATCAGCTCTGCATGGTGTGTAATGTGGATGAAAACTCCAGTTGTTTAAGTAACTGATAATTAAGGCATGTTGGTTATTGTATAAACACTCCTATTTCATACAGTTTTCTCCAGTCAAACTTTAGGACATACAACTAGGCCAAAATAAATAAGTAATAAGAACAAAATTTCACATATACCTAAACACATGGCTGTTCAAATTAGTAAGGTTTTTAACTTTATATGTGTTATCAGGAACAAAATCTAAATCAAAATAAATACAATTATGTGAACTTACTTGAATAGAAAATTGGTAAAACAAACAAACAAAAAACAAACAAAAAACCAGTGTTAAATGCATTTTCAATGTAACTTCCCTAAAACAAAATGAAATTGTGAGTAATATAGCTATTCTGATTGAAAATAAGTGAAGTGAAACATGAACTGTTTATTTTATATAGTAAAAAGTATATATAGTTTGCTTGTTTATATGGTAAGTTTCAGGCCTGTGGATGTTATGTAACCTTTTAATG